GTGTTTGGCGTCCGGGGACAAGATTCGCGCCCTGGGACAAGATCCATTTTAAGGTGCCCCATTTTCTTTTTTTTTCATCTCTCAAACCCATTATTTTCATCCATAAAATAATATCAAAGCACATTTTGGCGCCATTAACTAGCTGGCGCCCGGGGACATCTCCCCCCCCCCCTGACCCCATCGCTACGCCTCTGTTTAGAACAACAAAACAACTTTTAGACTTACCAGGTGCTTAACTTTACTTATCCACTGTTCAATCGAATCTTTTTGTTTTGCCAGCCGTTCCCGTTTTTGTTGAATCTTGACTTTCACTTTTGATGGAGAAAAGACCCATGCATTCATTTAGAATGTCTCATTAAACATAAAATGTATCAGAGTTATAAGCCCTGCACTACTAAGTTCTCTTCTCTTGGGGTGGCGTCGAGACGACAGATTTGCGACGCCTTAAGTATAAGTCATAAGCATTTTAGGTGCTCAAAAAAAAAAAGGGGGGGGGTGCAAAACAGTTTGGGAAACACTGTCGCTTTAAGTATTTAGAATGCTGTCGTGGTTTTTTCTATCTTTTCGCGACTACAGAAGTTTGGTTCAGCAGAACGAAATACCAGTGATAATGTCACAAACAGGGTTGCTTTTTTAGACATCTGCCCTGTAGAATGTCAACTGATCCACCCCCACCCCCTACATAAAAATGTGTACAGCGATAAAACTAAAATATATTATATAAAACAACAACTAAATTGTCATTTTAAAAACATTTTTAAAAAGAATAGTAACTTGTGCCTTTAAACGATTACAAATAAATTGGTGGAACCTGTGAAATATCGCGACGCTCGATATATTTGATGATCCGTATATCTAAGGCTAATCTTGTTAGGGGCTTAGGCTTAGACCTTTTGATTAAAAATATCGTACTGTTCCAATGATTGGCCACCATTTTATTTTAAAAAAATATAAACAGACAACCACACATATACACACACATACACACACATATATATATATATATATATATATTAAAACGGGTTGGGGCATTTTCAGGCTTTAGAGCAGTTAATACTTCAAGTTTTAAAATGTATAGGGTAACTAAATGTTACTTCCTAGATTCTCTCCCAGTCCTCTCGTTAAGCCTACTATTTGTTACTGTATCTGTGGCCTCAAGCAAGAGGAGCTTTTCAAAAATTAAATTTATAAATTAGGCTATTAAGAGCTACTTGCGATCTAATCTATAACAGTCTAATGCAGCGATTATGTATGTCCTGGTAAAGAATTACATTGTCGGGGAGGGGGGTCCGGAAATAGGGGGCTGACACCATACGTTTACCAACCCTAGTGACGCCTCTGCAGCAGTGGCGTAGCTAAGGACAGCTAGGGATTTGGGGGCCCGGGGGGCTTGGTCTCTTCGGGGGCCCCTGCATTTTGACATTCAACATTATTTAATGTAAAAAAAAATTCGGACGCTCCTTTGGCCCCCCCTCCCTCAAGTAGGGGCCCGGGGGCACTTTCGAATTTGGACCCCCTCCCCATCCCTTAGCTACGCCACTGCTCTGCAGTTTCGCATTGTAAGTAGCCATTTACCATACGGCTATTACAGCACATTTCAACCAAGGTTATGTAAAGTTAATGCGATGGTCATTTTTAATTATAACTGTATGTTATTATTAACTTTTATTTCCTATTTTATATTTAATCATTTGAAATATTGGGTTATTAATTAATTAATCGGTATTATAATTAATTAATTAAGGTTAAATAATATATACATTATATTTATAAAGAAAGTTGGTCTTCTTTACTGACTTCACGGCTTTGCTCAGATATACTGTACTTTAGATTTCATTAACTTTAACGGGGTACAAAATGTAACAACCTTCATTATGTTGCTGCTGCTCATACTTTGCTGCATTTTCTGTAGTTATTATGACAGTGAATAAGTCATGGAGAGATTGTTCCATGGTTACTGGGTTAAAATGAAGATTACTAGATTAGTTAAAGAATTAACTTAAGAATTTAAAACGTTGACATGCCTTCTGCTGTAGTAAAGGGGCACGACCCCAGTTAATTAATTATCAATAATATAACTCTCCTACGCTTAAAAATAGACGTTAACCGCAACCAATCAAATCATTCAAATACCAAGTTTCCAGGAAAAACTCCAGGATTGGACCCAAAAAGGTAAACACTTAGTCATAGTCATTGCTATATTTAAAGAATCTTAGTAACACATTATTTTTAAAAAGATAAGAATGACTATAAAAGAGCAAGCCCCCCCAAAAAACAGTAGCTCAGTCTCCGTCTTAAAACCGATGTAACACAATAATTATAATATCTATAACTCGGTGAGTCCGGGAGAGATTACTAGATAGTTTATTATAAAAGTTCATTAATAATTATAAGATTAAGATTGAAAATGAAATAATAAATACTAAGTTACTAAGACTACTTAAATATGTCATAATATATCATATATATATATTATATATATATATATATATATATATATATATATATATATATATATATATATATATATATTTTTTTATAAATTTTTTTATATATATAAATTATATATATATATATATATATATATATATATATATATATATATATATATAGGCCTTTACTTTACTAAACTTTACTATATATATAAAGTGAATGTTTGTTTATGGCTGGATTTTTCCCACGGAATGGAACTCCCCCCTATATTATATAAATTTTATAGACTACGAAAAGACCTTTGATAGCCTGGACCGACAAACCTTGTGGAAACTTCTTCTACACTATGGAGTACCAGGGAAACTAATCGGGATCATTCAGAGCTCTTATGAAGAAATGACATGCAGGCTGGTCCACGAAGGTAGACTCACACTCACAGATTCCTTAACAGTCGAAACAGGAGTCAGACAAGGATGTCTCTTGTCCCCATTTCTATTCATCCTTGCCATTGACCGGATAATAAAAAAATCCACAGACAAAAAGAGGAATGGGATACAGTGGACACTCTGGGAACAACTGAATGATTTAGACTTTGCAGACGACATTGCACCTCTGTCCCACAACCAGCAACAAATGCAGGAAAAGAAAAAAGACGTAGCCACCATTTCAGCACAGCTTGGACTCAATATAAATAAAAGCAGGACAAAAATCATGAAAGTAAACTCACCCAACCAAGAGCATATTTGTCTGGAAGGAAAGGCACTGGAAGAAGTGGAGTCCTTCAATTACGTAGGCAGCTCCATAGACACAAATGTCGGATCCGATACGGATGTAAGGGCCAGAATTGGAAAAGCTAGATCAGCATTTGTGCTATTAAAGAAAATATGGGAGTCGAAGGAGCTGAAACTGCAAACCAAAGTCAGAATCTTTAATACAAATGTTAAAACAGTCGTACTATATGGTGCAGAAACTTGGAAAACAACAGTGAGCCTTATGCAGAAATTGCAGACATTCATAAACATGTGCCTTAGAAAGATCCTGAAAATCAAATGGCCAAATACTATCAACAACAAAGATCTACTAGAAAGGACATACCAGGTGCCCATTGATGAAGATATCATAAAGAAAAGGTGGAGGTGGATAGGTCATACGCTCCGAAAACCCCCCGATAGCACCACCAGACAATGCCTAACATGGAACCCCCAGGGAAAAAGAAAGAGAGGAAGGCCTAAGAATACATGGAGACGCAAGTTAGAGGCAGACACGCAAAATATGATATACACCAGGAAGCAATTGGAAAGGAAAGCACAGAACCGTGATGAGTGGAAAGTTCTTGTAGATGGCCTATGCCCCTAACGGGTTAAAAAGGCATAAGTAGTAAGTAAGTAAGTAAAATGAAAAAAAGGATATTTCATCCTGAAAAGTAGTGAAAAGGTCGGAAAAGGAGAATTAAAAAAAAAAATTTTAATAAGTACGTTTCGAAATTAAACTAAATTTTCCAAATTATTTAAGATATAAATATAATTATAAATGTTTATTTAAGTTTATTAAACTTTATTCTGAAGTCAGTAAACAAATATTCTTCAAATAACTACATTCTACAACTACATTCATTAATAAATAATACCTTTTGAGTTGACATTAATTAGGTTTTTAAAAATACTTCTCAGAGCTAGCTACAGTTAGGTATTTTGACAAAAGTTCTTCATTTTTTAAGACTTTAAGAGGTAACTATAAGTATAAATATCTGAACAAGTCATAATATTCTTGAAATTGTACGTTATTGCTTTCATGTTCTCCTTTTGGACTGGCAACCCTTATTTAGTGAATTAGTCACCAGTTCTAGTAATTTATTATGGGCAGGGGTATTTGACAATAATACCTAGTAGGCCTAAAAACACATTTTTATAATAATTTAATTATAATAACTGGGACAATATTTATTCTGATGCCTTTCCAAAAAATACTATGCATTGGGCTAAAAATGTTGCCTCTCAGTATAGAGAAAAAAAGTGCCACCTGGGGTGGACCATCCCCTCTTCCCTACCCTTCTTACGCCAGTGTGCCAGAGGCGCACTCTTTTAAGTGCGCTGCCTAAGACACACACACGAAAATATCATTTTAATAAAAATCTAACAAACCCTATTAACATTAAACCTTGAAAGGGGTCCCCTTGGTTCATCACTGCTTTCAAACTTATATTATAGTTTGAGTTACCAGATAAGTTTGTTAATCCTTAATTAAAGTCAGTTGCTAAGTTAGCGTAAAAAATAATTTTTTAATTAAAAAAAAAATTTTTAAAAAAAAAAAAAAAAAAAAAAAAAAAAAAAAAAAAAAAAAAAAAAAAAAAAGTAAATTCAGCCTTTAAAAAAAAAATTGTAATTATTTTATAATACAGGCAGTATAGGCGGTGCTATGTTATATGTTAGCTGTCATTTTTACTTATTAAAGGACTTGCATAAACTTTGAACATTTTAGCTTTATCTCAAAAATTTATTTTAAAATTTAAAAATTGCTAAGACAAAATATACAAAAATAAATAGTTATCTTTAATTAGAATCCTAAATAAAATTATATATTTTAATTCAATCTTTTGATACTGATTTTCGTTCCTGAAATTATTTGTAAAACAAACATTCGTAAATCAAGAACTGCATGTACCAGGTACAAAAGAATAATTTCTAAATATAAATAATATTGGTGTTATTGTTACTAAAAATGGTGTTGGAATGTGGGGGATTCTAAGTTCAAGGACTTAATGTTTTTTTTATTTCACAGCAACATTAACATTTTATAGAAGCTGAGATAGACATTGTTTACATTGATTTAAAATGTCAAATGATGGAATGGATCGTTTCCTTCAGAGAATGAGAAGGTAGTTTATAGTTAATTTGTGATTTTATTCCATTTTTTTAATTTAAAAAAGCAACACCACCCCCCTCCCCTTTTTCCAGCTTTATGACAACTGTGATGTTGAAACTGATTAATTTTGTTTGACTACACAAATTTCACACTTATATTTAGGTCTACTGAAACTGAAAATCTGTTTAATTTGTAAATGCTTACATTTTGTATTGCCATTGCACTTTATTGTAAAAATAAAATGATGATTGCATTAATGAGTGTATTAATATTAGCTGATTAAAAATAATTATAGTTTTAATCATCAACACATTAGTCAGACTCATTTTTAGAAATTTTTAAACATTTAATTTTATATGTGTTGTCATTAGTGATCTGATGTTTGAACTGCGCAAAATTGAACATGGTGAACGACCAGTGACAGGCCAGAATCATCGAGCCAATATTCAGCACTTTATGGAAAAACATGTAGTAATTGAGCCAAATGAAATAGCAGATGGAAAACACAAAATTCCTTTACCTGAAGACAGCACTGTAAATCATCGCCCAGAATCGATAGTTGTTGAGGTAGGAAAAGAGTTCTTTTACTTTTTTTAATGAAATACCTTGCAGATGATCTTAATATTGCTTCTCACTACTTAGTTTTAAAAAAAAAATTGATGAACAACATTTCTTTTTAGGTGGACACACATCATTTTGTTCATGCTGATGTGGGTCACTGTCATGGTTACCTATAAAAAAAGCAGTCTTTAAAATTTATTTCACCGTTTATTTAAAAGTAATTTAATTAGATTTCATAGCCAATAAACTGAGTTGCAAAACAAAAATCTTAAATATTTGTTGGCTTTGTTAGACCATTTTAAAAAGAACAATATTATTTAAGTAACAAATTTATAATTTGTTTGGAGTTTATAAAAAATTTGACCCACAGTTGCCCATATAATATAGTATAATATATAACTTAATTGCTATGGGAGAAAAACGGGCAGCGTGGTTTGCTTTTAGGTAATATCTTCACTCTCCTTATTTAAAAATTCAATAATCAGAATATAACCATAATGGTTACCGGAAATTTTTTTGAAAGAAATTTCGTCAACGGAAAATTGATCGATGGAAATTCGATCATACGGAAATTTGGTAGAATCTTTTTTTTCAGTTCACACATTAAAATTTTGTGTCAAATTTCTTTTTGAATGCATTATTTTGTTTTACTATATAGTATAGTGCGTTCAAAAAGAAATTTGACGAAAATTTTAAAGTGTGAACTGAAAAAAGATTTGACCAAATTTCTGTTCGATCAAATTTTCATTGACGAAATTTCTTTCACACATATTTCTGGATACCATTATCAATGACTTGTTTGAGGAGCCCATGAATAAAATCCCAAAAATTGAACAGTTTTACAAAAATTGATATTTTACCTATAAAAATCAAATTTGAGCCACTCAAAAATTTGAAGCATAGGATTTATGTTAACTACAAAATGTTAATAATGAGACTAGTTATTACTTCTCACAAAGAATCTTCTCAATTCTAGTACATTGTTTATAAACTAAAGGCAATTTGATCACTTTGAGGAGTCCTGAAGCAACAGTACATGATAGTTTGAATTAGTCCCTTTGTTATAGAGTTTGTTAAGACCATTACCGTACTAATCTAATGCTTCTTTCTTGAACTTAAAGGTTCAAGGAATCATAGAGCAAAGACCAGTTTCATCAATTCTGCAATCAGCTTCCTTCAGAAGGCAACTAGAAAATGTTATTCGAGGAACAATTCAACATGCAAGAAGAGAAACCTCCAGGAATGCACCATTAAATCTCCCACAGAGCACTTCTGCTTCATCAATACCTGCAAGGAATCGTGGCCATGAACAATCCAGGAATCCTACACCAGGTTGATGTTTTGATGCATTTTTAAAATTAATTTTTATTTAATCTTTATCCCTGTCTGTGTCCCCTACTAAAATATCACCCAAGCTTATATTCTTTTCTCTACCCCTTGCGTGACCTAGAGATAGAAACCGTATCTAATGGACCCAACGGACCCTTCCGACAGCTTCTCATTTGTACTCTGTTAAAGGATCTTTTATGAACCTAGCTACTAGAAAAAAGTTTGGACTTAAGTAAAAAGAACATGAAACTCGGATAATTATGCCAGATGATATCTTTTCCTTCCACACTGACTTATTTATAAACTCTTTTCATATACTTAACTTTTTATTCAGAGCCATTTAACCCAACGTCACATGAAAGACCTCAGCTGGTGAGACATGAAAGCACTGAATCCATTGATAGCTTTTCCAGTGCAATCAGCAACTTTGATCAAGGTATGACATTGTTGAAAGCTATAAAAAAAAATTATTTTTGGTGTTTCTACATAATATATTATTTAAAGAAAATCTTGACTTAAAATCTTCTTCACTTTGGGGCTATCCATAAATAACGTTCCACAGATTTTGCCTATTTTTACAACGAAGTGGCTATTCGGACCCGGGTCCCATTAGCCAAAATCACTATTCGGACCCGACTGATCTCGTGGGGTTCATTTTCCGTTGATCATGTGACGGTTACACAGCGGCAAAAATGTCCCATTGGCCTGGTTTTAAGATATGCCAGTTAAAGAAGAACTTGTGTGGTCTTGTGGTAGAGTGGCCGCTTGACCTTATTATATTTTGAGGATCAATTCCCAGCATGGGATTGATTTTTTTTCCTTTCCCATTTTAATTAAAAAATTAAATACAAATATTTTATATTATATTTATATTATCATGTTCATCTAAATTAATGAAGGATTTAATCTTACTAATTACATTAATATTATTACTTTTCTAAAAGTCTAATGAAAATAAATTTATCTCTTTTTATCTTAATTACTAGATATAAATAAAAACCTTGATCTACGAACATGGCTTAAAATTAAAGAAAATTAGAAAAAAAAACTGCCAAGAACTTTAACAAAGCAAAAAGAAAAAAAAAAAGAAAAAGAATATAACTGTGAATCTATGAAATAACAATGAGAAAAAAAAAAAATTATTATACTACTACTGCACCCGGGTCCGAAGCCATTTAATCTATATAGAACCACTCCGGGTCCGAATAGCCATTTTGTCTACAGGGACCCGGGTAGCCGCATCCTTTTTACAACCCCCCTCACCCCCCTCCCCCACCCAGTCGTTTGAAAACATCACATAAAGTTAGACCTCCCCACCCGTATAATGTCACAAATCTCTGCACACACACACAAAAATCCCTCTGTCCACAACTGTCCTTTGCAAACCCTTAATTAAGTCATCTCGTTTGGATATTGAATTACTTCACCAGTGTCAGAAACATTTATCTAGAGCAGTGGTTCTTAACCAGGGGTGAAAGCACCCCCTGTGGTGGGGAAGACGCAGAAAATTTTATTTTCTTCCATTGTTATTGGTTCCTGTCTTAAAAAAAAATTAGTATTTTTGCATCTTGATTAGCAGCCGTAAATGGTTTTTCTGGTGACTATTGTTTGCACATTACTTGTATTGGTATTTTTTTTTCTTGTTTCTAGAAAGTTAAATAAAGAAATAGACTCTAAAACAACAATTGATGACACTATTTTATTATTTTCATTTTTACATTTGATTACAATATAATTTATACGGAGAGTGGGGGTGGGGGAGCACATGTTGTGGGTTATTTTGCCATCTCACTTCACTTCGTTGGTAGCCTTAATTCTAAGCCTCTTGTCCCACAATTCGAAATAAATTCTTACGATTGTCAAAGACACTACACCCTGATTCTCCTCCTTGATAGCGGCCTATAATTTGATCAGGTGTCATTTCTCGAACCTCCCACACATGCCCTGATTCTTTCAGTAGTTTAAAATAAAATAATTCTTGTATAATAGAATGTTATTAAGTGCAAATTTTTTCAAGAATATTCTACTTTTAATGTGACATCACATTGTTTAACCCCCTCCCCCTCAAAACAAATCACAAAAATATGACACCACCCCCCCCCCTTCCCGTCACCCAGGCGTGTGACATCATTTACGGATGGCCCCTTTTGCAAGCTTACCATCACCTCCCCTCCATTCATCTTATTAGACACCAGATACAGGCAAAAAATAAAATAATTCTTGTATAATATAATGTTATTAAGTGCCAATTTTTTCAAGAATATTCTACTTTTAAAGTGACATCACATTGTTTACCCCCCCCCCCCTCAAAACAAATCACAAAAATATGACACCCCCCCCCCCCCCTCCCGTCACCCAGGCGTGTGACATCATTTACGGATGGCCCCTTTTGCAAGCTTACCATCACCTCCCCTCCATTCATCTTATTAGACACCAGATACAGGCATTTTATAGAAAATTAAAAATGTTAAAATAGATAACAATTTATCATCATAATTCATCATATTGCCATAGCGCCCCCATATGTCATTAAAGTTCTGTCAGAACCAAAACTATCATCAGAGATGAAAATGGAGTTATAATAATATTAAGTAATAAAAAAATAGACAAAAATTAAATTATTAACATCTCAAAATTTCTAGTACTTGCGCCAGGCCTCTAGACCAGGGTCTCCATAAGGTATACAGCCTATGGTCCTAATCCCGTTTTGTAAGGCCTGCCAGCTAACAAAGATTTTACATTATTACAAATCTGTATAAACTATACAATTTTCAAAGTATGTGTTACTTGATGATTATCTGCTTTGGCAGAATGCAGTTATCAGTCTTCAGAGTTTCCGCCAATGGTATTACCCTTCTACAAAACACTACTGTCTCATTTAAACAGACATTTTCAGACGAATGACTGAAAAATAATTGTAGATATCTGTAGATATCAATGCTTCAATGATATATCATTACATAACCTTACTCGAGGTTAGTTACATACAACAATACCAATAGTGCATGAACCATCTCCCTGCCTCTGTCACATCTAATGCTTTTAGTGTTAACACAAATCTGAAAGGCCAATTTTTTATCCCCTGCCTCTAAGAATTATCTCCCCTCTCCCCATTCCGCCCTCTGTGCGTCAAGGCAAAATTAAGCTCCCATCTCCTTAAGTATGGCTATTGGCCTGCAGTGACTGAAATAATTACTATTTATACATTTTTCAACCTCTACTCTATACCATAGATTACAGCTAGGTGTCCAGCCCTATGAAAAAAAAGTGAAGGATGCACCCAAGATCCCCCTCCCAAAATAATCTATTTATTAAATAGCACAAACAAAAATACAGGAAGCTGTTCTCAGGTATTCCTGCAGGACTCGACCCTTGATAACAGCACATGATAGCATAAACACACACATACATATTTATATTTGCTTTTCTGAGGCAGCAGCTTACAGATATATTTATTTTTCAAAGATTTTATCAGTGATCAGGAAGATGAAGTAGATAGCCCTTCACCTGAAGTAGCTCACAGACCGTCACACTTGCAACAGAGTTTTGAGAGAGTAGCTACTCCAGCTCCAGAGACACAGAATTCACATAGAAATGCCAGTTCTCAACAAGTTCCTTTACAAGAAAGGCAACGTGTGGTGCAGCATGAAACGTAACTTTTTTTTTTTTGTTTTTTAAAAAAGCCTAGTCTCTATAAAGATTATGATTTGAACTGAAATTTTATTTTCTTTGCAAATAAAGTTTTGTTTAATAATTTATTTAAATTTCATTTTAATTCACTGTTTCAGAATTGGTTGGAATGAAATCAACCGCATTCAGAGAGATGAACTTGTTGAGGAAATTAGTGAATTACTGCATAATCGCCTTGTTTCTTCAACATTGGATGGCGAGTTTCGGGCAAGATTGGAATTGCATATGCAGGTATGCTGAGGTAGTTTTAAATAACTTGATGGAAAAGAGGTTTTTTTTAGGCGAGTATTATACTTTAGGTTAAGGAAGCATTAAACTTTTGTTTCATAATAAAGGAAAATAATTCTTTACAGTGGAGATTGGATTTCATTCATTAAAAAAAATATTTTCATAAAGGACATACATTTCATTATATGATTTTAATAAATAGGATCGTGTGGCATCATCCGGTACAAATGGTCAAGCTGTTGAGGAGTTCATCCAGAGACTTCCTCGGACTGGTGTTCCCCGGAATGATTTCTCTCACTTGGGAATCCCTCAGGTGGCTGAGAATGAACAATGGGACAATATTTCCGTGACCAGTGTGAGCGCACACTCTGTTCCTTATGTTCAGGTCTGTAATACTTTTGAATGGAATGACAATATTCCTCTTTTTAAAAGTGAAAAAACTGTTAATTAATACCTGCTTGTTTGTAAACGTTTCTTCATTTTAATCAGCTCAAATTCATTTTGAGAAACAGTTCACTTCTTCTGATGGCTTTTACAGTGTACTAAAATAAAGAATTTTGAATTATTTGGAAATGTGAAATTATCTTTAATTAAAAAAAATAAAATTATTTTATCTTTAACAGACAAACACCTATTTGAGTAGAGAAATCCAGGGCTTGAAGTCACAAATGAATGAGATGAAAAATATGTTGAAGTTAACATTTGACCTTCAGATGGACATTCAAAGGGCCATAAGACAGGAAGTGGCTGCTGCTATGAATAATATAACAGGTATAAGCTAGGCCTCATCATTATTTCATACATGTCATAAGTTTGACAGCTTTTGGCTCAGAGGTCTCAAACTCATGGCCGTGGGTCATTTGCGGCCCGCAGACGATATTTTATGGCCCGATGCATGACAGCAAAGTTTAGTGTTTATGCGGCATGTGCTTTTCACCATTCTCATATCTATAATGTGACCCTCCGCGACTGTTTCAGTCCAATCTCACCGACTAGTCTAATTCTGATTTTAATTATGGTTCTATATAGGTTTGAATGTTGATTATTATGGTAAAACCCGTTTTTTCAAAATCGGACTAAAAGTTTTTATTCAATAGAATTTTATGAGACAAACATGGCCAAAGTGTGGTTTTGAGAAAACATGCTTGGAATAGTGAGTCAGTTTGTGGGTAATGCACAACCATTATTGTATATATCGTAGCAATTTGACATAGTATCAAAGAATCCCTATTAAAATAAACCGTTAGTGTGCACGAGTGACAAGTGAGGGAAATTCCGAGCCTGTCAGCTTGGTCCCTTTCAAAATAGGGTTATTCAAAAAGGCCTTTTCTATGATAAGGCTCACAGGTTTGCGGACTTCACAACACACAGCCAGTTTTCAAGGAGGAAGTAAGTGAAGCCTCCTAGTTCTTGAGAAACCTTCATGTTTTTTATTTGGTATTAATAAACGTTGAACAGATTGTAACAGTTTCACTTTATTGAATTTGTAATCGCTTCTTTGTGGAACACTTGATGTGGCCCAATCTCACTTAGATTCTACCTCCTGCGGCCCCTGGATAATTTGAGTTTGAGACCCCTGTTTTAGCTATTTAAAAAAAAAAAAGATTTACTATAATAATTTATTTTACTCTATGTATTTCATAAGGGGCTTGTTTGGTGATTTGGTCAAGCAATTTCTTATGGCTGTTGTATATGAGCCATATAGAAGGGTGATATGTCTGTATATCTGTAGATAAGTGGGGAAATGCCTTGAGTGTTTTTGTAGGCAACCAAAGGCACTGGTGCCCTTGGCTAGACGGTTTAAATCTCAGTGTGCAGTAAATAAATAGTGTAACAAGATATGTTAAAGCTTGAAAAATAGACACAACACTTAATCTGAATTTTCGGCTAGATATCTTAACAAGGTAATAAACAAGTGCATACAAATAGTAGCAGTCATTTGTCAAGATTGATACACTATTAATCTATATCTTTTAACAAGGATTTTTGTTAGCCATGCTGCTCCCCAAGTATGTAAACTAATCAAATGTAGTCACTCATTGGTGCCGATTTTTGGGGCCATATCATTAATACACTTTACCGATATCTGGAACCAGGCTACAGTGATTTCCGATGATTGAATATTTTTGTAGCGGTTGTGTCCATGCTAATTTAGCATGCTCTCAGCACTCTAATGTTCTAAAATCCATTTAAAGCAAGATGTTTTTAAAAGTTTCTTAAATCAGTTTCTATCATTTTCAATTTCCCTGAAAGATTGAGGCAAACTGTTCCCCATAAATTTGTACCTACCAAATACTGGTTTGGATAGAGTGTGCCTGTCAGTCTGGCGCCTTTATATATATATATATATATATATCCTTTCTATTATTAGCCTCCTTGGCTTTATTTAGCATGAAGCTTAAGAAGATTGCAAACCACACTCCTGCTTGAACTTATTGTTTATTGCGAAATACTCTGAGAAGATACAATTGTCTTTTTATTCTGCATTTGGGTTTTCAGTGAGATACTGAAAAGTACAGCCAGGATTTTTGCGTGGCATCCCAGTTTTTATAAAAATTCTCCGCAGCCCATTATGGCTATCAGTGTCACAGACCTATGTAACATCTCCAATGCAACGTCCTGCTTTGCAAATGAAACACTGCTTGCATCTTTTGCACATTAATTCATCAATTATTTTATGATTTGATTGTAGACCTAAAGCCTCCTGAATTTTAAAAAATATTCCTGAGGAAGTGTAATTGCTCTAAATGTGATTGAAATAACCTGTGATTGAAACTTTGGTGCCAAAATATGATTTAAAAACAGCTAGGAGGTGTTGGAAATTCATTAGAAATACACAAATAGGAAACAAGGCTTGAGAAAAATTTGGAGGTGGGGTGTGGGGTGTTAATGTCACGGCTTATGATAATTTAATGTTAATTTTTTATGCTATTGCAAAAATTAAAAATTTGAAATGTTACTTGTCTATTCATGATTTTTAACTTGACTGTCTCAGGATAAATACAAGTTAACCTACCATTTAATTTTATTGCTTTGCTGTTCAACTTAAATTAACTTGGGATTATTTTTAACTCTAGCTACCAAGAGTTCTTTTTTTATATTTCTTTTTGTTATATTTTTAGGATCATCCCCAGTACAGAATCGCCCAATCAGTGATACACACTGTCTGATTTGTTTGGAACGTCACACAGATACAGTTCTTTATCAGTGTGGCCATATGTGTGTCTGTTATGTGTGTGGTCGAGACCTTGTGTCCCGTGGACACAACTGTCCTGTGTGCAGGGCACCCATCAAAGATGTCATTCGTGCCTATAAAACAAATGCTGATTAGAGGATTGTACAATAATCTCTTTATGCTGTTTTCAGCATTTCTTATACCATTTGTATTGCGAGGAAGCTTTTCATGTAATTGCTTTCCTCTTCGTCAGCTAAATACAGCTTACAAAGAGACATGGATAAACAATAAAAATGCATTCTCTTTTCAAGGCTTTATTTTCTAAAAGACATTTAATGTTTTTGAATCCGCAAATCTCAAATGATGTAAATTTCATTGGAACCAGTGAAATATCAGTTACTTTGTAAGTTATACTGTACTTTCTCAAATTTTGTAAATTATACTGTACTTTTTAATGTATGTTGTACTTGAGTACAAAATTGGTGGTGTTGTGCATTTAATTATTTAAGTGTGCTGATTATTAGTTGGTAAGACTATAGAATGTTGTGATGCAAATGTATCTACTGTAAGTTTAAATTTTCACCTGTGAATAATTTCAAATGATAATTAAAAAGAAATAATGAGTACTAACAGTTATTAATTTTTTTTTAAATATTTAATTATCTACACACATACACACAATAAAAGCTAAATTTTCAGAAAAATTGCATTAAAATTAAATATTTGAAACTATAAATTGTGTTTGGTTTCATATTTAGTATGCTATGTTGATTTTTAAATCCTTTATATTGACTTCACTTTTGTACATTTAGGGCAAAATTTTCAGAGGCTAATTGACCAACTTCCTGTCAACCTATTCCTGTCAACCTATTGAGCTGGAATTCGGTACATTGACTCATTGCCCATGACAACACATCCTTTCACATATTCAGCCCCACCTCCCATCCAGAACCCCAGAAAATCAATTTTTCCTCTATTTCAAGGCGAAGTAAATATGACTCCACTGATTTCTTCCTGATAACTGCGCTAAATGAAAATGTTAAAAAATATCTATCACAAGTGCATTTGGTGCATAATGTTTTCTTTTGTTTTTCTGAAATAGTTGGTGTAATAAATCTGTTTTGTAAAAGCGAGTCAGTCATTAGAATATTAATTTTATGCATGGTTGGTAATTTTAGCAATTGGATAAGAGAAAATTTGTGGTAAAAAAAAACACTGGGGTAAATGAAAATATTTCTTTTAAATACAGATGCTTTATTTGCTATGTTATTATTGTTCGTCCATCAAGGATCGACGAGGACCATCGAGTTGTCTGGTGACTGATGACTTGCGCGGGTGACTTTGTTTAAAGTGAAGAAGAGTTGCGCGGCGTCTACCTCACTCTCTCGTCCGAGCCCACCATATCCAGTGGCAAGACTCTACGTCAAGACGACCAGGGATGGGTTCGGTTGCAGGAATTGTCATTGTTTGCGCCTTACGGGACTCCAACTCCGGGTTTGAATTCAGAGTTTTCTTCTCTTAGATGAGTTGCCGACCAAGGTTAACGAGTCTCATCCACCCGGGGTGATTTTTTTGCTTGACTGGCCTTTGGCTGGACTTGAATACCAGACCACCAACTTGAGGTTTGCTTAGTTTAGACCATTTGGCCACCCAACGATAACTCAACCTACTCCCAGAACTGAACTCACATAACCGGGACACTCACAACTTACCCTTATGAGAAACCCTTCATGATCCACAAATTTCCATCATAAACTATCACGCTTACAACTCCAGCTCATAACACGTGCATGAGGATGTAGTGTCCAACCCCAAAAGCAAAAGCTGTAACGACAATACCATATATACTCTTTATTTTATGCGATTGCAATAATAATACTTTTTTAAATTTTTAAATTTGTTCAAAATACCTATTTATTATCTCATTTTGTATCTCTTTCTGTGTATTTTCAGGCTTTCATTAATAGTCTCTGGAATAGCTCTGTGTTCATCAATCATTAATTGTATACTTTTGATCCTTCATCAAAACTCAACTTTAGTAAAAGTAAGCTCGGGCAGAACATCCCTTCTAACTGATCTATTATTAATTTAGAGTACAGACTAATTAAAAATATGTTCTTTCCTCTTTCTAAAATACCATGTACTGTACTTTTCAGTTGTATAAACCTTTAACTTTGTCCAACTTGTGTGAAATTTTTGGTGTCTATTGTGTTGTCTTAATTTGCCCAGGTTCGTGTTAATTAACTTAGAATGCTTTATTTGTTGATGACGTTTTGTCCCGATTCAATTACAATTATTTCAAGATTAAAGATGCCAATTCTTCATTTCCTGAAATTTGCTGTGAATACACATGGGCTAGGCTCCCGTACCCAAGCAACCTAACTGAAAAGACTATCGATGGGCGGCGTCATTTGTGTGCAACGAATCCAAGTCAGATCTTAGTGACAGTAAAAATGGTAATTGTTCTCATACACGGTCAAGTGACGGGAAATTAAAATTAAACTAAATGTTGGCCATGAGAAATGTGGGGGACAACTTCTAAATTTTTTTTTTTTTTTCTAAAAAATACTTTGCTTATAAGTAGAATAAAGGCTGCGGCTATTTGTATCCTGGTACCAGAAGTGAGAGGTTTGGGATTAAAAAAAATATATTTAAAATATTATTGTTGGGTTTATAAGAAAAAAAAATGAGGTATCAAATGAAAGATAATTGAATTGACTATATGTTTGTAAACTTACTTCTTCAGTTGAACTAAAATAAACTACCACAAATAACATCCGAATAGCTTGAGCCTAATGGTACCCTAGTGCGAATGGCGGCGCTGCGTGCCTGGGTCCATTTTGGGTCTAAAATAATTTTTTTTTTTTTTAATCGAGCTGTACAAATATAATTTCAAACAGAGCTATTCCTTGGTTTGAATTGAATAAAAAAAAAAAAAAAAGGCAACAGATTACATAGTTCAGACCATGACACTTTTTTAATTATTATTTGTCACTGGGTTGAACATGACATAAAAAAAAAAAAAAGAAAAGCCAACACTATAATTTGAGCTTATGTTACTATATTATCTATTTTTTTTGTCAAGAACCAGGAATGTAACAAATTGATCTACATAAATAAAATAAAGGTGAACAGAGGTTGCAGAATAAGGTCTCAGAATTGATCACAAAATAAAAGAACAGTCTCCAAAGTAGTTTTACAAATGTTTACAGCTTGCCATCAGACCGATGACTCAAATGTACATGGTTTATGCAAAGTAGAAATCTAATTACTAATAATAACACCTGACAATAGTTGAAAACCCCTGATGCCTTAAAATTAAAGTCTCAGCTCCACAGAGAAGCAGATTCACTTATTTCTTATTAGTTCAATCCAAGGTAACCACAACTATTTATTTACTGCCATTTTTAGTTCAAGAACAATTTTAACAGGGATGTTGTAATGGCGGTAGATCCTTTGTGTTAATGATGTGACTTCTAATAATAACTGGACAGGACATAGAGCAACAGTAAAAAAATGTGTCCAGCCGATAACAAATTTAAAACCCCAAGGATCTTGAACAAAGCCATTTATAGCTGGGAAGAGTATATCTCCATGCTCTGTAAATTTACTAATAGAAGCCATTTCACAAAAATCGTATCTTAGTGAGTTGATTGCCATGACAATATATAGTTGTGTTACACTATGATCTATGCATGATGTTAAAGGACAATGGACAACATGTTACGAATGCAAACAGCATGATTAAACTGAGTATTCAAATCCTAGCATACCCAGCCACATGTATGCAATCAAACTCCTTGCATACCCAGGCACATGTACGCAATCAAACTCCTTGCATCCCCAGCCACTTACACCCAATCAAACCCCTCACATCCCCAGCCACTTACACCCAAACTCCTCACATTCCCAGCCACTTACACCCAAACAAACTCCTCGCATCCCCAGCCACTTACACCCAAACAAACTCCTCGCATCCCCAGTCACTTATACCCAATCAAAATCCTCGCATCCCCAGCCACTTACACCCAATCAAAATCCTCGCATCCCCAGCCACTTACACCCAAACAAACTCCTGAATCAAACATGATCTCACCACCAACACTTCAGCTTTAGTAAACTAAAGAAACAGCCCATTGTGATCATTCAACTAAATAAAAATGTTGCAGAACTGCTTAAATACACTTCCAGTTTGATCAAATTCAAATGTATTTCCTCTGGATAGCACAGAAAACTAATTTGTTTTTGAATGACATACTGATGCAGTAGAAATAAAGGTGTTTTAAATGGAAAGATTAACACAACTCTTGTAGATAATATGATGTGTGGAGATAACTATTTTATGATACCCAATAAACTCCATTTCCCTCAAACCAATGAAAAAAATCTAAATTTTAAAATCATTATTTAGAAGTATGAAAATATATCATAAAGAAATCAGAATCTAAAAATGAAAAAAGAGGGGTTAGCTGTCATTTTCTGAGGTATTTCTCAAATAAAAACTTTGAGGACATATTAGATTCTCACTTAATTAATTGATACAAAACATGCATGCAGCACAGCTCTTATACTGACCGACCTTTAAAGCTGACCAATTAAATCACAATCCCTGAAATCACTAAGGGCTGCACTAACATCAAATCTTTCATTTAACAACTGAAATATCTTTAGTTTGAAATGTAAAAATCTTCATTTTTTTTTCAAATCAAGTATTGTGTAGGAAACAAAACAAAACAGAACAACCCACCAACAGATTAAGTAACACAGAATTCAAATACAGCTTTAAATATATTTCTTACCATAAATCTATGATGCAACATGAAGTTTGTACTCTAAGAAACAGCACATCAAATTTTCAAATGTCAATATGAGCCAATTAAGATAAAATTATTTTACCTAATATCCAATCTTCCATCCAAACAAATACTGTACTTTATTTATGAGCTAGTAGACCACAAAATTATTGAGTCCACAAATTGATCAATTAAAGAATATGAAGTCTCTGTAAATAAATTAATACATAAATATGAATAAGAGTCCAAAATAAGGAGTTATCTTTCACAACAAGAGGCATTCTGGACATGATGAAAGATAAAGAGTCAACATTTGTGAAATTGAGCAATTGAAGTGCAGTAACTTGAACAAGTGATATGGCTGTACCGGTTGCTAACAGAATATGTTACATAAAAATCAACAGTGCAGTCAAACAGAGGAAAAAGAATAATGGAACAGATATCCACAAACAAAAAAATACATTAATTTTAAGCATGATGCATCCATGGCCGCAATATATGTTCAACACCATTGAGGTCAATGTGTTCAGTGGTGGTAGTGTGGTGGACAGGTACACATTTAAATGACATGATGGATTTCCTAAATCATGACACCACTTGTTGATAATCTCATTTCTAATGTTGGTAAAAAAGACAGTGAGGGTGTCAAAGATAGCATCAGGATAAGTGAAGGGCCATAACATAAAACTTATCAAAGTCTGACATGCCAACCTTCATATTATTCTCCCCTTCAGGACAAGCAGGCAACCCATATTTTAAAACATTCAGATGGTCATTTAAAAAATTGTTTTGCAAGCATCACATAAAATGGCATTCATTATAAGAAAGATAGGTACATCTGATTTGCTTATTTTGCAGCTATTTAATATAACTAGCAAGTTGCTGCATTGAGGCAAGAATGAGCTGTCTTATTTCAGAAATGAGACAAGACTGTATGTG